TAAATCTCTATATACTCAATTTAGCCAAATAAATATCGAGAAAAGAATTAAACGATTTCAAAAAAGTATGTATGGTGTAAAAAAATTATCACAAAAGTTTTGGGATTTTCTTTTAGAAAAATAGGAAAATTTTTGTAAAGAAAAATAACAAACGCGAATGAAAACTTGAAAGAGAAAAAAGGATTTTTATATCGAGTATAATATTAATTTATTTAGAAATAATGCATTATGCACTAAAATCGTATTAATCGCCTCAAAAATAACTTCATTTGTCTTTTTTTAAGCATAAAATAAGCAATATTATAATTATTTATTTTTAAAAAACGCGGCTTGAAATTTGTCGGACAACAATACTTTTTGACTAAATTAATTATTTACAATTAATTTTACTAAATATTACCTATGTGGTAATTGATTTTCAATACCCTGTTATTTTTACATGTTTCGACCAGTAGACACGTCAATGTCGGAAGAATTTCTGTCGGACAAATTTCGGCATTTGCAACAAAATTTCCAGTTACTTAAGCTAAAAATAAAATATGTGTTCTTGACTTTTCAAGACCCCGGGAAATTGACATGTTTTTGGACTTTTCCGAGTGAAAAAGCGGAGGAATCGAGAAAAGTCGCAGAGGAAAAATGTGGTAGACGCTTCAAAACGAAGCTTTTCAAGAGTTATAAAGTATGTGGTAATCAACTTTCCAGAGGGGGCCTGTACTGTGGACTAGTACTATTGGTATATTTTTCCGAATTAAGCAAAAGTATGAAATCTTCCTCATTTGTCAATGTATGCGATGTTTAGAGCTACTTTGAATGTCTACACTACAAGAACATCGTTATTGGAAAATGTCTAAAATTGAAAGTAATCTTGAAAGGGCAATCGAATGGACATCGTGCTAAAAAATCACGTATTTTAGAAAATGAACAAATTAAAAAATTTCTAATGGAGGCTTCTGACGATACGTATTTAGGTACAAAATATTTTTGTAAACAAGGAATACTGACTATTATTATTTTAGGTGGCAATGATTTTTGCCGTATCTGGGGCGTATTAATGTGATGAAATACTTCAAATAAAAATTGGAAATATTGAAGATATGGAAAATAGATTGCTGATCACTCTGCCAACTACAGAAACAAAGAAAAAAGATCCTTTATTGTAGCGGATATTTAGACATATATCGGAAACAAATTTTAACTTTACAAAATTTTATTTAATTTAGCGGCAGTAAAAAAGATTCTAATGCCTAGGCAGTAAATGTGACATTTTAGTGCCTGACATCTCTCACTAAATCTACGTCTTTAATGTCGATCGGCGAAAAAATATTTTTTTTGTAACTATATAAAAAAATCATTTCAATTCACGATCTTTGTGTTACACAAAAAAAAATAAGATACTGTTTAGATTCTCTATTTTTTAAACAATTACCGTTTTTATTGAAATATAAAAAGAAGGGCGGGATTTTAAGAGACCTTGGAAATGTTATATCATTTTAAGACTTCCAGCTATTTTCAAAAGAGATGAATTTATGAAACAGGGGATGTTTTATGATACAATAATACCGCCAGAAATTGCGGTCCAAAAAAGTTAACTGCTGTTACACAGACAGTTTGGTTCAGTTATAGATATTAAAATCCTTTAGTGCAAAAAGTATATTGTTTCTCTCTAATTTAACCGGCAATTTCGAGATTTATTATATTTATTAAAACGTTTTATTGTACTAATGTTACTTTATTACTTTGTGTGTTGGCATAGATAAGTGTTACAAGATAATTTGATTTATAATAAAGTTACACGTAAATTCAAGACGTTCTTTACTTCGAGTGCCTAACATCAAGGTGTTTCATCTATTCTGACACCTTAAATATATAGTATAGTTTTCTTAATTGACATCGCTAGACGCACCAAGAGTAAAAAGTTTATTATTATTTATTTTTAAACTGATGAGGTCGACAGAGGTCGAAACCTATTATGTTCTAAACAAAGACTGAGGTTGATAAAATAGGTACTTACAACTAAATTAAAAATACTAAATAATTATACATAGAATACAAACATGTATTTAATCTATCAAATAAACTCCCTTACATTATGAGAAATTTTTCCATATTGTTAATAGTATTGCTATGTACCTACCTATTATAATCTAATTCAATCAGATCTAACATATGATTTAATGGCATTCACCTCATCCAAATCAAATAGTTACGCTACAACGTATAGCTATTAGAATCATTATTATCGAAGCGAGATGCAGACAGAATATTAAGCATTTATTCATGGAAGCAGAGATTTTAACTTTGTTCTTGTATATTTTTAAAAAGCTTATTTGGACCAATGAAATTTTAAACAAATTTTGATATCGCAATGAAATACAGGAATACAGCCTGAGTCGTCGCAGGAATAATAATCTAGACATAGAATTAACAATTTCAATGCGTAGGTACTACTTTTTATTTTGTTCCAAATTTATATAAATAAATTTCGTACATATATTAGATTTGCAATTTAAATCTTGCATAAAGGCATTGTTAACTGAAAATGCTTTTTACATTTTAGCTGAATTGTTTAATTGTAACTTTGGTTCATAAGGAGTACAATACTAAACTTTTATTACTATATGTAAGTTTTTATAGTAATACAATAATTTGCATGTATCTATAAGATGGGCTGTAAATAGTTTTTGTGTAATCGTGTAAATGAACTAAGTCGAAATTTTTCATGTTTTATAAATTTTAATGATAAGATTGTACTAAAATTGAGAATATGAATAAATTATTTTAGTTATCGACACTACAGGCTCAAGTTTTGTACTACTTTTGGTAGAGATTCTACACCACTGAATTGCTATATTTTCGATACTCTTACAGTAAGAGACAACCTACGTACCTATAATGAATATGAAGCAAAGTGTTTCACTCCTAATATTTGAAGAATTCTAGAACCCTTAAGGATCAATTTAGGATAAAATTACTCTTGCTCTTTTATTTAAAGTTTTCAACACCACTGTATAACACCGCGTTGGACTTGCATTTATACTTTTTGAAGTTGACACAATAATCTCTCTCTTTTGTGGGAAATTATGACCGGCGGTGAAAAGTGGAAGGCGAGTCGACGACATCGACGCCAAAGCACAATATTCACTGTAACAAAGTCATGTTGTGTATATAAAGGGTGTCCCAAAATTCATGCAACAAAATTTGGTCACAGATTCTTAGGACAAAAAGTGACTCGTATTTTTTATTTTTGCCAAATGGCCCTCTCTTTCGGAGTTACAGCTCCCTGAAGTCCGCCCCTAAGAATAATCTTTTTTTATATCTCAGAATCCTGTTGTACGAGAATCACTAAATTTGGTACACAGGGGTTTTATGACATGTGGAATCTGATGGTGCACGTTTTTTGGCGGGGAACCCCCTTAAGACAATTTTTCGTGGGCCCCCTTGTCTTTGGAGCCAAAAAAGTTTGGTCGCATATTTAAATTTCTTAACAATTATCAGTCCACTAGAAAGCCATTAAATTTAGAAACTTTTTGTCTCTTTATACTTTTTTTCGTAAAACGCAATGTTTTCGAGAAAAATGTTAAAATGTGATCGAATGCATATCGTGATTCGTCATTTTCCTCAAAAACATTGTGTTTTACGAAACAAATATCAGAGACAAAAAAGTTTCTAAATTCAATGGTTTTCTAGCTAACTAATAATTTAAAAAAAATAAAATTTGCGACCAAATTTTTCTGGTTCCAAAGACAAGGGGGCCCACGAAAAAGTGTCTTAAGGGTGTTTCTCGCCAAAAAGCGCAGCACTGTGAGATTCCACATGTCATAAAACCCCTGTGTACCAAATTTAGTGATTCTCGTACAACATGGTTTTGAAATATAAAAAAAACTTCTTAGGGGCAGATTTCAGGGGGCTGTAACTCCGAAAGAGGGGGCCAGTTGGCAAAAATAAAAAATACGGGTCCTCTAAATTTGTCTTAAGAATCTATGACCAAATTTTGTTGCATGAATTTCGGGACACCCTGTAGTGGGATATGAAAGGTGTATTGTATTATAAACTTCTGAAACCTGACCAGACAGTTACTGCCGATCGCTATCGTGAACAATTAATACGATTGAATCAAGAAATTTAACGAAAACGTCCATTTACTGTCAATAAAATTATCCAATAAACCTGCTCCGTGACTATACCAGACCTCATATGGTAAACTGGTAAACTGGTAAAGGATACGTTAATGGCTCTTGGATGGGAAGTTGTACCACACCCGGCGTATTCACCAGACCAACTGATTTTCACTTGTTTCAGAAAATGCAGAACAAATTGTCTGAAGTGTGGTTCAAAACATTTGAAGAAGTACACAAAAATGGAACGATAACTTCCTTGCATTGCTAGATGAAACTTTCATTTCGGAAGGCATCCATGAATTAGATACAAAATGGCTGCGAGGTCATTCAAAGTAATGGAGATTATTTTGATGAATAAATGTATTTTAATTTTTGTCAAAAATAAATTTCTAATTTTTAAAAGTGTCCAAAAATTTATTTGTACACCGCTATTATTAAATAAGTGCTGCAGCTATAAAATATAAAATATTAAGGTTGTTAGAAGAGAACTGTCGTATTCTATCCCGCATTTACATAAAATGTAGGTGAAACGTAAATATTCAGCGACAAGCAATAAAAGCGTATAAATATTTCAGGCCGTTACATCCCACCCTTCGCGATAGATTAGGGTTGGAACCAATAAAGAAAATATACACTTAAAGATATTTCGCAACGCATTTAAATCCAAACGCCTTCCGCAAACATTTACATGAATATTCAATGCGAACGCCGGAATAAAAAGCAGACATTTTCCCCAATAAGCCCTTATGAGGGCTGTCCTAAATTTCAGCCTCATCCTACATTAGCTCTTAGCTTTACACAAGCTTGTTTAAGAATAAAAGTAGACGCCGTAACGTTGTTACTCCACTAATGTCGTCCTTATAGAGCTTTCTCATTTTTCAGGTAACAGCTTTATTGGCCCTAAGTGAGGGGGCGCAATTCCTCAGTAATGGCCTTTTGTATGTCACCGAGAGGCTAAGATTAGGACCGCACGGAGCCACCTCGCTGGTTGTGAGGCTTCTCGTCACATCGCCTGGCCTGAAGAACATGACAGGTTAGCTTAACTGTTTTTTTTTGTACGAACTTTATGAAAATCTAACATTCCTATTTTTCTAATCGCACTGAGATAATTTTTTTGATATGGTTAGTAAAAATCCATTAACCGCAGCAAAATATCTGCATTAAATAGGCGCCAAGTGAGTTGCCTTCCTACCACAAGAAAAACTGCTTTACTGGAAGGAACTCACTTGTAGTAAGTAGACAGGTTTGCTATAATATATAATCTCTTTGCTACCTCAAGTAAGTAAGATTAACCACAAACGACTCAACTCATTAACCCCAAACGAGTGAACTCATTAACCCCAAGCGAGTCCTCATTAATCCTAAGCGAGTCGACTCATTAACCCCAAGCGAGTGAACTCCGTATTTACTATTTTTCGGTGTTGTTGGCTCTCCTCACTCTTTCGTGCACCATGCAATGCAACTTAAATGTTGTACATATTTTCAAACAAGCATAAAATGAAAATCCCCATTCGAGAAGTAAGAATTTGTATCCAGCCTGCATTGTGTGCATTTAATCACGCATGCATATAAGTATTATTGCATACCTACGCAAATACCCTAATTGAAAACTTTCTGTCGGTTGTTAGACAACTGAAAACTGACTCAACACTCGATCACAAAACATATATTTATTATAAAGGACCCATCGACTAACGATTGACGAACGTATATCCAGTGCTTACGTGTTACAGCAAAATGGCAATACCTCAAACTTCTCTATGGACGAAACCATGGTCAGTATAAGGCACGCGTAATCGCGCATGCGCACTGAGCCGAATTCCGGTTTATTCTGGAAATTATTAAGTGAGGCCTTAGTTACAGTAAGTGAGCCCTAATTTGCTGCAAATAAGGACTGACTAACCCCAATTGGATCAATTATAAAAAAGTACATTCACTTACCCAAGCAAAGCAACTCACTTGGGACAGATAGACAGTCGACTAAAATAAAATTTCAACTGAACTATCATATAGCCACAAGACTTTTCTTTGTTGTGGTAGCAAACACGTTTCAGCAAAACGTATTTACTTGTGGCAGCATGAATTTTTTTCTATGAGAGCAAAAATTTTACCTACTGTAACTAAAATATCTTAGCAAAACCCCTCACTTGGTGGATTTCTTTCAGTGCGCACATTTAAATGTGATATGTGATAAAAAAAAGGCTGTAAATGATATAGTGACCTTACAATATTTCACATACGAATTAAAGTAGCTATACTGACATTAGCCATTAGCAGCAATCAATCGTTTAGCGAATAAATATCCATTTACACGCATCATTGCCGTATCAATGCTATGTCAGTTCAATATCAGCATCAGTGAAAAATAAGATATCGTTGCTTACGGTTTATATGTTTAGATAGACCTCTTTATACACGTCGTCCACAATAACGTATTTTACTATCAGTGCTGCTTGAGTGGCCATTACATGATTTTTAAATACGTCGGCAAAGAAATTTGTTATTTTCACTGGCAAATTGACGGAATTCAATTATTTCTTTTGTTGTACAGGGTGTCCCACTAAGGTTGGCGATACATGTCCTAGAACTTCGAGAACAAATTTTTACTGAATAAATCAAGCAAGAGAAATCGCTAGAAACAGTTTTCAAGTTCGTAGCTTGGCCGCTAGGGAGCGCAATCTACAGGGTGGGCCATTAGCGTGAGAAAGTAAAATAACTCCCTTGCTATTCATAATACAAAGAAAATGTTTATATAAAAGTTGTACAGAATCAAAAAACCTAAAGGACAAAATTAATTTGAAACATACAGGGCGATGAATAAAAACAGGACGCGCTAAATATTACATTTTTTAAATGGAACACTCTGTATATTTTTAAACACATGGATTTCTGAGAGAATTCTATATATGGCAATATAAATAGTTTAATATTTTAGTACGGGGTTGCCAAGTTATGTAGAAAATTCTTCGAATTTTAACATGACATGAAGTTGTATTAACTTTCAACTACTTGGTGTAAAAATATTTGACTGAGTTATAGGCAAATGTTAGGCAAAGGCTCCTATGTTAGCTAAGATCGATATTTTATACAGGGCATTTTTTATAATGCGATTATTTTTAGAAAGGTCAAACTTGATTTTCTAAAATTTTTCAGATGGAACACCCTGTCTTTTATTGTTCTATTTTATTCACATATCAGTCCATTTCAACTTTTATTAAGTATGTTCTACACCTAAAGTTGTTAATTTTTATAGAGCAACATTTCTGGAAGAACCTAATTTTATTATTTTCGGCCGCACGAAATGGCTCTGGAAAAAACTGTCACATTGTGTCAACTTGTTAGTTCATAGTTTATTATTCTATTTTGAGTTAATTTTATTAGTTAATATTTATTTTTGGTATTCTGTAAAATAATAAAAATTAAGTTTTTTCAGAAATGTTGCTATATCTTAAAAAACGTACAATTTTAGTTATAGAACATGCTTAATAAAAGTTGAAGTGAACCGATATATGAATAAAATAGAATAATAAAATACAGGGTGTTCCATTTGAAAAATTGTAGAAAATCAAGTTTAAACTTTCTAAAAATGATTGTTTTATAAAAAATGCCCCGTATAAAATATCGATATTAGCTAATATGGTAGCCTTTGCCTAACATTTACCTATACAATTTTGATGAGTTCCTTGCTAACCAGTTTTTAGATATATAACGTATGTTCGTAATATTCACTTTTTTATGCTGTTTACGTTATATTTATCTTAATGTGTTTTTTAGCTTTAGTGTAGTATTGCTTATATGTTGTATCTTTCGTGCTTTTCTTTCTTTGACTTGTGTAAACATTTTAATGTATAGATGTTTAATAAATTTGATTGATTTTGATTTGATTTATAACTCTGTCTAATTATTTTGTTCCAAGTTTTAGTATCTGAAAGTTAATACAACTTCTTCGAGGTCTTGTTTTTTCCAAAATTTAAAGAATTTTCTACATAACTTGGCAACCCCGAACTAAAATGGTAAACTGTTTATATTGCCATATATAGAATTCTCTCGGAAGTCCATTGTTTAAAAATATACAGGCTGTTCCATTTAGAAAATGTAATATTTGGCGTGTTCCGTTTTTACTCATCGCCATGTATATTTCAAATTAATTTTGTAGTTTAGGTTTCTTGATTATGTACAACTTTTATATAAACTTTTTTTCTGTATTATGAGTAACAAGGGAGTTATTTTACTTTCTCACACTAATGGCCCACCCTGTATATACCAAAACATAAAATTGAATGTTTCTCAGAAATGTTTCCTATTCAGGTATACCTATTAAATAGTACAAATATGGATAGCCGGATTCATTACAAATAACTGTTATCTGTTATTGACATTTTGTTCTAATCTCTCAACAGAAAAGGGGGGCCCCTTAATATCAGATCAGTAAAATACATTTTTTTAAAGATTGGCTCATCAAAAGCTAATAGTGTCATACCTCGTTGGAAAGGTCTTTTCATGATTTATCTCGTGGTGAATGCATAATGTCATTTACAACAATAGGAAAACCTATAGATGGCGTTATTTCAAAAGAATGCCGTTTTATGGATTTTTCTCAAAAATTTTAAATGCAATGCTGTTTTTTACATAAATGAATTCAGCCCAAAGAATTGATAGCATATGTTTGAAATTTCTAACGAAAGTGTTGTTTAAATTTTGATCTATTGGCACTATTTATCCAAGTTGAGGTTGTTTCATGTTTTCTTAAAAAAGTGATATAGCAGGATACAAATTTTTATAGGTTAGTTTGAAGAGCATAAAAATATGTAGCTACATTTTAACGCCAAAATGGGTTCGATATATTTTTTTGCTATCAAGTTACCCACAAATTAGTGAGAAAAAATTGAGGAACACGACGTTAACAAAAAGACATTTTATTATCAAAACAAAATTCGTTTATAAAATATCCTAAAACGATTGTGTTTCAAACTGTTCAACTGTTCAACTCCGGAAAATACGAGACAGCCAAAATTCCAAGATACCAATGCCGGTATTCGAAGGTAAGAGACTGAACCAACAGAATTAGGAACATAAAGTAGGTTTAGTTACGTTCTTTTATAAACGCATCTTGTTTTGGTAATTAAATGTCTTTTCATTACCGTCGTGTTCCTCAATTCATTATTATTATTATTTAATTTTTCCTCACTAATTTGCGAATAACTTGATAATAAAAAAAGATATCCAAGCATTTTTGGCGGTAAAATGTAGCTAAACATATGCTATAAACATCATTTTTGTGCTGAATTCATTTATGTAAAAAAAACTATAGCATTGCATTTAAAATTTTTGAGAATAATCCATAAAACTGCATTCTTTTGAAATAACGCCATCTCTAGGTTTCCATATTGAGCTAAATGACATTACGCATACACCACGAGATAAAGTATGATTAGACCTTTCCAACGAGGTATAACACTATAAGCTTTTGAGCCATTCCTTAAAAAAATGCATTTTCCTGATCAGACATTAGGGGCTTCTCCCACCCTTCCTGTCGAGAGATAGAACAAAATGTCAATAACAATTATGCGCAATAATCGAGCTATCCATATTTGTACTATTTAATATACCTGAATAGGAAACATTTCTGAGAAAAATTCAACTCTATGGTTTTGGTATGTAAATTGCGCTCTCTAGCGGCCGAGTTACGAAAGTGTAAACTATTTCCAGCGATTTCTTTTGGTCGATTTATTAAATAATTTTATTTTCCCGAAGCTCTAGGGCCTATACTTTCCCTAATATCGTACCTCGCCGATTTTAGTGGGACACCCTCTATAGTGACTAAGAGAGATGAAAAATTTATCTAATAAGCACGGAATTTTCCTGAACTAAGTATATTATGTTGAGGGTTGCTTTCGCTGTACAGCAAAAATAAAACACTCTCTCAACGGTAATAATAGAGTATTTTATTGAAAACTAAGTTGTATAGAAAAAGACGTGTTGACGGGGTGAGTGTTCGTTGGAGAGTCCATGTGTGTGGAGTCGGTTGTAGGT